AAAATGCAGGTCTTGCCTGCTGACTCATTATTACAGATCAAAGATCTTTGGTTTTACTCGGAAAGTGGTGAAACCAGCAATAGAAATGAGAAATGAAGGGAAAGAGAATTACTTATAGATGATGAGTTAGGTTAGAGAAGTTGGTCTGGTAGTTAGATATTGAGGAGGATAATTTCTAGGCCACTGGAGTTTATTTCTGAACTTGAGTCAAAAATCCAGGTTGGTAATATTGATTTGGAAGCTATCAACATTGAACTAATAGCTGAAGCCAAGAGGAAGGGTAAAATATTCCCTAGTAAGATGCAGAGATGGAAAAATAAAGTATACGAGTTGTGGATAAAGCTAGAATCAGGGATTTAGAGAAGAAATAAAAAGAAAATTAGTGAAAGAGGCTCGGCGCCTATAGCTCAACCGGCTAAGGCGCCAGCCATGTACACCAAAGGTGGCGGGTTCGAAGCCCCAGCCCGGACCTGCCAAACAATAATGACGGCTGCAACCAAAAAATAGCCGGGCGTTGTGGCGGGCGCCTGTAGTCCCAGCTACTTGGGAGGCGGAGGCAGGAGACTCGCTTGAGCCCAGGAGTTGGAGGTTGCTGTGAGCTGTAATGCCACGGCACTCTAACCAGGGGGACAGCTTGAGGCTCTGTCTCAAAAAAAAAAAAAGAAAATTAGTGAAAGAAGTAGAGAAAAGAATCAAACTAATATTGCCATAGATGGTTTTAAAAAAGAGCATAATTCCAAAAAATATCAATAATATTTAAAAGAGAAAGAAAATGACAAAATGATTAAAAACCAAAATTTAAAAAATGATAAAATAATTGAGAGGAAGAAGGTCTTATTTATTTATTTATTTGCAGTTTTTGGCCAGGGTTGGGTTTGAACCCCCCACCTTCGGCATATGGGGCCAGGACCTTACTCCTTTGAGCCATAGGCGCTGCCCAGAAGAAGGTCCTGATCTGAGGAGCCTCTGTATAGCTCTTTCTGGAGTATGCTAGTTATCAAATTGTACTTTGATACCATGTCTTTGAATATTTATTAGCTTGTTTCACAAAGCAAATATGTCTTTAGTATTCTAATATCATATTGCAATCTAATATTATAATAATTGAGACAAGAATCATAATGTCTCCATTATTGTGATCACATGAGTAGAATCTGGAATCAAACTTTAATTACCAGAAAATCCTAATGCTAGATTTAAAAACCTGTGAAAGAAAGTGAATGAAATGTATTTACATGGGACCATGCCACCACTGACTTGCACCTTTAAGAAGCTCCATTTCAGCAGAAGGCTTACCTTCTCTGTCCTGATGTACGAGTAGGTCTGATTGAACTTGTTTACCATTGTGACATATTCTGGATCATACAGTGGCAGGTCCCCCACCTGGATATTCTGCTTCATGTTACTCCAGTGTGCAGGGATATCAATGCAAAGGAGGCATTTTGAGGAAAAAGTGAATATCATTTGTGTGTTTGTTTTACAATCTCCTATTCTAAGTGCTCAAGAACTTCCTTATCTTTCTAGTAGAGTACCCTGTGTGTCTGTCTTCTGGAATTTATCCCCCTTTAATGCTGAATATAAAAGTTGAGATTTCACTAATTCCCGTAGAGACAGACACATGTAAATTGCAATTTACAAACAATAATTATATAGATTAATGTGGAGCCTGACACTTTAAATAGCTGTTAAATGAAAAGTATTTCCAGAAAAAGCAAAACCTCATAACAAAATAAGGCAAAAAACAAACAAACAAAAAACCCAACAACAGAAAGAGGCTTTGGTACCTTTCAATAACAGAAGACAAAAATAAGTTCAGTTTATTATTAATATAAAAACATCTCTGTGAGACTGCTGAACTAAATCTATAAAACTGAAACAAATCTAAAATATATTGGAGTCTCAGGGGGAAAAAAATCTTCCTTTTCTTTTCTTTGACTAATGTCTAATAAGACATGAGAATTTGTTTTAGGAGAACAAGTATTCTCCTAACTAAATTTATCTCTGATCTGTACATATCTAGCAGGATGACACTTTGTATTTTATCTGACTTTACAGTGGCATCATTTAATTTTTAGCAGCATATCTTCTTTGTTCCAACAAACCTAATATAGGAAATAAAAATTCAGTCCTGAAATGTCCTAGATATTGAACAGATGCCCACAATTCCCATCCGCTTCTTTCCTGGGTTTTTAGGAGTGTGATTATCAAAATCCAAAGGCAGTTAGTTAAAAAGGGGAATAAGAAAACATTGTTACATGTTTGGAATTCAGCTGGTAAAAAGGTACAAGCAAGGACATGATATTCTCTGAACACGATGTGGTCCCAGATGGCAATGCCTGGGCACTCTGTAGATCCTGGTACTGTGCAAATGGCAAACACTCTGCTGCTCGCTCACTCACAACTACTATAGTACTGCTCAGGCTACTCTCTTGCATTTCTCTGTTGATTAATAAAAGCCAAAAATCAGGGTGGGGAGATGGTGTAACTGCAGCAGCAATTTAGCACCACTATCCATCTAGTCTGTTCAATATAATCACACTAGGTATACTGTGGTTAATTCAAAATTTATAAAATACAACTCTGGAAAGCATTTTGTTTTTTTCTTTTTGGTCCAATGAATATAGTATTGATCCTATAACCCCAGTAATTAACTTGCAAAGCCTCGACCTTATCAAGTTGGTTCTTGGTGCTCACTGGCAAGGTAGACTAAAGAAAGTTGGGTAATTACAACATGACCATTTTTAAAACGGCTGTGTCTTAAAAAGAAAGTCTAAGTCTTATCAGAAGTCTTACACACTCAAACTCAATATACAGTTCAATAACAAAAATAATTTCTACATAGTCCCTGGGATTTACTAAATGGAATTTGACCTGGATCTTATTTAATGTTAACTAGCCAGTAATCTCCATGCTTGACAACAGCTTTCCTGTAGAGAAAATTGTGGATCCTGCATATGTTCCAGTCAAGGAGAAATTTGTCATGCTTTTCTTCTGGTTGTAGAAATCTCAGGTTAGGACTTCAGCTATAGCATCTGACAAGTTTGTTATAGTCTGAATTTAGCAAGGCATAGGGCTGAGTAGGGGGTAGAGGGTGGATGTGACACAGCTTTAATTCTTCTGCTCTTTCCATTTCTTATAAATTTCCTGCTCAGAATCAGTGAAAAGTTCAGAATCAGGATACTGAGAACAGTTGTTTTAGGTAGTACTCTAAGAATTTATCCTACCAAGGGTGTTCTTGTGTTTGACAATTAAAAACCTTGAGTGTCCGTGTTATAGGGAGGATATGGAAAAGCAGCCTCAACCCTAACGAAGTAGACATATTCAGTGTTTACCAGCAGCCACCACAACGGGAGTAGATTTTACTTGCCAAGTACAATTATGAGTTACTCTCTAAACTATTTTTTTCTGATATATGTTGTTCTGAAAACATGCTCATACTCATGTATGGATGAGAACATGTATCTACCCTATTGTGAAAACTCTGAGACTGGGCATTGCCCAGAAATATGAGCAAGTAGAGTTATATGAAAAAAGAAAAGTAATGTAAGAAAAAATTAAATTGTACAGCAATATTGGTATGTTTTAATATGCCTCATTAAGGGTTCACAAAATACATCTACTTGAGATCTTCCTTTTCCAAAAAATAAAATCCCTTTACAAAATACGATAAGCAGCTGTTAGGGGACCTGCATTTAAAAATAATATGGGGAACAGGCAGAGCACCATGGCAGACTAGAAGGATCTCCAGGATAGTCTCTCCCAACAAGACAGGAGAGTGATAATCCCACAATATGTGGCAGGAGGAACCTACCTAGATTTGTCCCTTGTGGGTACAAGAAGGTGGTGGACTGCAGGAAACCTCTGGAGTTGTCAAGGTTTGACATAGGAGGCTGGGGCGAGGTTCCAGGTGAAACAGGATATTCTGGTCTACCTTGAAGGTCAGGTTGGGAGGCAGCCATTCTGCAGTTTATGGCTTTGGGGAGAATCCAGGAACTGGTGCTGCTGTAGAAAGACTGGAGGAGCAGTGGGACTCAAACAGTGTACAGCAACTGGGTTTGAATATGAGGCAGAGGGGATTTCCCATCAGCTTGTCAATTGGCTGGGCATCATCTTGGGAAGGTCAGCTGCTAGCTGGGCTGCCTTTGCAGGAAGGTCTATGGGAGCCTAGTACAGGGCTGGCCTTGGTGCCTGCCCAGCCCAGGCATCCCCTACTGCAGGTGAGTTGAGTGGCTCCTACATCCACTGGGAAACTGTTGTCAGGGGCCTGGTAAGACTTGCCTCCCAAGGACTCTGAGGAGCGTTAAGACCCCAACCATGCCAGGACTGAAAGCTGACTAAACAATCAGGCACACATCTAGGGCAACTAAATAAGCATAACAGGACACCTTCTCCTGGGCAACTAGAGAGTAATTTCCAGCATGTTTTCTCCAACTCCTAACACCACAGCTCCACCTGTTGTCTATAAATATGTGTGTGTGTGTGTGTGTATGTATGTGTGTATGTGTATATATATGTGTATATATATATATATATGTTGTTAATATTGCCCCCTTCTACAACCTCCTTTTTTTTTTGTTTATTTATTTATTTTTTTACTTTCTTAGTGTTTTTTTCTTTTCTCTTCTTGGTTTTTGAGGTGATAGTTATTATAGTTGATTTTTTTTGTCTTGTTTTGTTTTGTTGTTTGTATTTTTTTTTTAGTATAAATAGACTTTATTGAAGTCAGTGCCTCTGTATTGAGATAGAAGATTGTGTCTACATACACACAAGTTGTAACATTTCACAACTTCTAAAAGGAATGTCAACAATTACAATGATCATGCATACCATGGTTGATAATCAAATTTTAAAAGCATTTTCAACCATTTCTAAAGAAATGCTTATAACATTGTTATATATAGAACTACTTTGAATAAACTTTGAATAAACAATGAAAACATTGATCGACTTTTCCAATATGAGTTACAGTGTCAACACAAAAGGGAGACATAAATGTTTAATTTATGAAATCGGAATGGAATGTTTACTGTAAAGAAAAAATTAAAAAGCTTTCACATAAAGGCCACTTGAACTTTTGAGTTCATTCATCTTTTAAAGCTGTTCTCTGAAAACTTCAGTTCTAAGCACTGAATTCAGTACTGTGAATATTCCTTGGATTGATGTTTGGCAATGATGCGGTCCAGCTGTCTCTTTGCTTCACACTGTGGGAAATTGCTCATGTCATAATACTGAGGGGCAATTTTCACCAACCACTCCGGCTTGATATCTGTACAAGTCCGGATGTAAGTCTTCGTTGTCTGCACAAACTCTTTACAAAGCACCCATTCAGGCTTGTGGTGAAGGACAGTAGAGGGATGCAACTGAACCACCTGGTTATCTTTCACAGTTAAGTAATGCCCTGTTTGCTCTAAATGCGCCACCTGCATAAAGTACCCAGTAACCAAAGCTTTTCTTATATTAATATAATAGTCCCTGTTTGTAAAGTTGGTACTTCGACGTGGCAAATTGAATCTGTCCATAATTCGAGATAGCTGCTGGCGTACATTGTCTGCAGACATCAGGGACCTGTAGTTAATGAAGTTGTTATAACACCACTGAACTGATTCATGATTTTGTTTAAAAGCATGGTAGACATTCAGCAGTGTCAGATGATCTCCATCTATGTGGGCAAATCTCATCTTGGCTTCATCTGCAGCTTTCTTGGCCTCCGTGGGGCGAACAAAACACTGTGGGACTGACAACATAGCAGCAATAGATAGGACCTCATTAGAACAGTTGTAGTCACAACTTGCAATAACCGTTTTAGCAAGCTGTGGATCTAGAGGAAACTCTGCCATCATGGATCCCAATTCAGTAAGATCTCCATCATCATTTAAAGCAGCAAGATAATTCAAAAGTTCCAGGCCTCGCACCAGAGTTTCAAGAGAAGGGGGATCGATAAAATCAAAATGCACCAAATCATCAATACCAAGTTTCTTCAACTGTAACACAACTGATCCTAAATCAGAACGTAAAATCTCAGGGCAGGTATTATCCTGCATTTCTGTTTTGTAAGCTTTCTCTGTGTACAGTCTGAAGCATTTCCCAGGTCTGGTACGTCCAGCTCGACCAGCCCTTTGTTGAGCTGAAGCTTTACTAATAGCTGTCACCAAAAGGGACTCAACCCTGATGCGAGGATTATAAACGTTTTGTTTTGCAAATCCAGGATCAATCACAAACACAACACCATCTATTGTCAAAGATGTCTCTGCAATGTTAGTTGACACAACTACCTTTCTTCCAATTGCTCCATTCTGTTTTTTTGGAGGCGGAGGCTCAAAGACACGCTGCTGTTGCTGAGGTGGAAGTGTAGAGTACAAGGGAATGATTTTAATGTCACCAACTTCAGGGCCCAAGTCATCAACTTCACACTTGATTCTCTTACAGACGTCATCAATTTCCTCTTGACCAGTTAAGAAAAGTAGAAGATCTCCCTCTTCCTCTTCACACGTATGAATTTGGATCACTGTTTGAACTGCTGCTTCAAGATAATCTCTCTCTGGTTCTGGACTGTAAAAGATCTCAACAGGATGTGTACGCCCAGGAATAGTTAAGAGAGGACAGTTATTAAAGTAAATCTGGAATTTTCCTGCATCTAGAGTGGCACTCATAACTATAACCTTTAAATCTGATCTCTGTCTTACAACTTTCTTCAGAACACCCATAAGAATATCTGTAGCCAGTGTCCTTTCATGAGCTTCATCAAGAATTATTATACCATAACGCTCCAGGAGGGGATCATTCATAGCTTCACGAAGTAACATGCCATCGGTCATATACTTAAGGATGGTTTTTGCACTACTGCAGTCCTCAAATCGAATGGAGTAACCAACTTCCTGGCCCAACACCACATCCATTTCATCAGCAACTCTCTGAGCCACACTCATTGCAGACACTCTCCTGGGTTGGGTACAGGCAACTCCTCTTTTGGGTCCTGGTAATGATTGCATACACTCCACACACCACTGTGGGATCTGTGTTGTTTTACCAGACCCAGTCTCACCAACAACTATGAAGGATTGATGTCTAACAAGAATATCTGTAAATCTATCCTTATATTCCCAAACAGGGAGCTGAAGCCGTTTCTTCAGAATATCGTAGTATTGAGGAGTATGGGGTAAGTTGGTAAATGGATTAATGCCCTGTGGAAGTGATGTGTGGTCTGCATTCTCTGTGTGTGTTGAATGAGCAAAATGTGTTGAATGTGCCGCATGGGTTGAGTGAGCTGAATGGGAAGCTTTTAAAGGTGGTATTCCAGCATGGATAAGCATAGCATTAGTAGAAGCTTGCAATTCCTTCTCATTTTCTTTTTCCTTCTCTGGCTCTCTATCTTCCCTATCACGTTCTTGGTCCCGATCTTTAGACTGATCGCCATGATCCTGGTCACAATCTCGATCCTTCCCATCAGTCCCCTCATGCTTCTTGCTGGAGGGGTAATCCTCCCCCAGGTCTAGCCGGTGGAGCTCGGACATCTTCGCACTCTTGGAGCGGGCTGTTGTGAAGGAAGAAAAACAAGAAGCTGGCTACTGTATGGGCACATAGCTCTGGAGGACCCCCCACAACACCCTACACCATGCGTCTGGTCATTTGTATTCTTAATCTCCATTTTTACTTTCTTCAAGAGTGAGGGCTCCTGTATTTTTGTTATGGTATCTCAACCCCATTTATTCTCACTGTCTGTTTTATATCTTCCCCTTTTTCTCTCTTTGGGTAGAGACTTTTCTACTTACCTCATATTTCTCACATAAACTTCTGTATAACTCCTAAGATATCTCCCTTTTTTGTTTGTTTCTGGTTTCTGCTTTCTTCTTTTTTCTTTATCTGAAATAATTATATTTTTAACCTTCCTTATATATTCTTAGTTTGAGTTTCTTTCTTTTGTCTGAGAGCTTGATAGTCCACCAGGGGTCCTCAAACTTTTTAAACAGGGGCCAGTTCACTGTCCCTCAGACCGTGGGAGGACTGGATTGTGGACCCAGGGATGAGCTGGCTGCTAAGCAGGACAGGCAGCAGCAGCAAAAACACCCAGCCTGCCAGATAAATGTCCTAGGTGGGCTGCATGTTGCCCGCAGGCTGTAGTTTGAGGACCCCTGGTAGACATTCATCTAGATGGGAAGTCATGGCAGAGGTCTGGCTCAAGTAGGTCACAAGATCACAATCTAGGGAGAACTTCTATCTTTGGCCTCTGAAATGACAGCATTTGCAGGTCTACACTGCTCAAGTTTTCTTTCTTTGTTTCTTTTCTATTTTTATTATTTTTTTCTTTCTTCTTTTCTTTGTCTTCCTATATTTAGAAGAGTTAGGGTCTTACTTTCCTCAGGCTCATAAGGAGTTGCTGATGGGAAGGGAACCAAACCAGCCTAAACCTCCTTAATTCTTGAGTTACAGGTGTGGCCATAGCACTTAGCTGAACATCTCCATTTCTCCTGTCACTCTCAATTTCTCTTTCTATCCTCCTTCTCTCCTGTTCAATTCTTTTCTTGCATCCCCCTTCCTTTTTTTCTTTCTTTTATCTTCTTTTACTTCTTTTCCTCTTTTTTCCTCCCTGCTCACTCTTTACCCTTCTCTTCCTTTTTGCCTTATACCAAGAGGCCATTTCAACACCTAAGCTCTGAAGTAAGGTAATTTAAAGCAAAGGAAGAACTGAGAAGTTAAAAATAGGGCAAGAAGGGGAACAAGAAGAAAATAGACATGAGAAGGAACCAACAGAAAAATTTTGGCAACATGAAAAACCAAAACAGAACAACTCCACCAAGGGACCATGAGGCAGATACTGCAAAGGACTTCACCTATAAAGAATTAATGGAATTGATAGAAAGGAAAGTTAAAATATGGATGATAAAGACAATAAAGGGAATGGACAAGAAAGTAAAAAAACAGAACCAACAGATGGATGAGAGACATGAATAACATAGAAAGGATATGGCTGAGCTTAAGAAAAAAAAAAGAGACAATCAGGAAATGTAAACATGCAGCAGAAAGTATCAAAAATAGATTAGACCATAGAGAACAAAGAATCTCAGAACTAGAGGATAAAGTTCTTAAGTTAACCCAGGTAGTTAAAGAGGTAGAAATGAAGAGAGAGAAAGCAGAACAGTCACTCAGAGAACTACGGGACTTCATAAAGCTTTCACACATACAAATAATAGGGATCCCTGAAGGGAAAGAAGATCATCCCAAACAAATGGAAGCCCTAATGGAGAATATCATACATGAAAACTTCCCAAGTTTCACTAAAAATTCTGACATACTTCCTTTGGAGGCATATTGAACCCTGGGTCATCTCTACTCAAACAGAGCCTCTCCAAGACACATTGTAAAGAACCTGTCCAAAGTCAAGGCAAAGGAGAAAATTCTGCAAGCAACCAGGAATAAGTGCCAATTGACCTGTAAGGCAGAGAGGCATTAGGGTGACATCAGACTTTTCAGCTGAAACTAACCAAGCCAGAAGAGAATGGTCATCCACCTTTAACCTTCTTTAACAAATAATTTTCAACCCAGAATTCTGTATCCTGCTAAATTAAGCTTCAAAATTGATGGGGAAATCAAATCTTTTGCTGACATGCAAACATTGAAGAAATTGGCCACAATAAGACCCAGCTCTACTTAGACCTATCATCAATACTGTCCATCCCAGTGGACCCCAACAAAGTAAACACAGAAATAAAAGGTCAAGTCTTAGCTTCCACAATGGTGCAAAGGAAAAAACAATGCAACAGAGTTTCACAAAATAAGATGAATACAACTCCACCACACTTATCAATTCTCTCAATAAATATAAAGGGTTTGAACTCCCCACTGAAGAGCTATAGGCTAATACAAGCCATAAGAGTTTGAAGGATTTATGGGAGTTAAGAGTTTCCACTACAAAAATTAGTTTAGAGAATTTAACTCTTTCAACAGGTGTTACTATGAAGCACTGAAACAGTGATGTTTGTGACTCTACACCAAAAATCTTCAATGCCCTTTGTCAACCAGGATTTTTTTTTCTTTCTGATTCAAAAACTCTAATAACCTGACGGATTAATAATCTTCAGGATACAATTCAGGCAGTTTAAAGAAAAGCAGCCTTTACACAATTCTGGCATTTACTATAACCTGGGGCACATCCAACATTTCCTCTCTGACAGTGCTACCCACTTATCTTTCAGTCAGGGATTATAACAACCAAGACAATGTCCATGAATATACCTGCTAACACTCTGTGGAGTTATGCAAGGGTAAGTTATAATTCTAAGAAGGAGAAGCCAGACAGTAAAAAAGAAAACCAGTGTATCTCAGATTGTGGAGAACAGGAAATGAGCAGGTGTGAGCAAACAGGTCAGGGAGAAAGGGAGCCTTCAACAGTGCCCAGTACAATTGACATGTAGAGCTCTGGCATAAAATAAGCCTCAATTCAACAGTATGTATTATTAGCTATATACACACAACATACATATTTCAGGACACACCCAACAGCCCTCAAGATCTTTGAAAGCCCTGCAATTGCCCACTCCCCCCATAAGTTGGAGGTTAATCTCCAGGGTAGACAGCTTTATGTACGTCTCTCCCTGGGCACAGAACCAGGCTGCTAGAGGTTCACAAATGTGACAGCAGCTCCTCTTGTCACATATTCAAACCCCAGGAATATGAGATCTTTCATTCTAGTTGAATCCAAACCACACCTTCACCTCTATTTTCCCACCTCAGAAAAACTGAGTTAGGAAAAGGAGGTTCCTCTAAACACCCTGTTATAACACCCTGACTCCCCACCCTGATTAACCCAGGTGTTCCTTCTTTCCATAAAAGTCCAGCCACTTAGTTTCTACTGCTCAGCCTTGACCTCTGAACATGAGTGAAGTCTCCAAGCTGACTTTGAGTATGCGTCAGAGAACAGGCAGTTTATGTCCACAGAACACTCAGAGGTTTTCTGTGAGGATTCTGTAAGGTTTAGCTGGATGTGGTTTTCCTAAGATCATAGTCCAGCAGGTATCCACTCATCATGCATGAGATACCTCTTATTAATTTCTGAATGATGACAGTAATAGGTGAAAGTGACATTTTTGTAGGAACTGGATATGTTGCTGAGTATTTCTTTACCTAAACTTGATTGAAATCGATTGGAAAGTTATTATTAAGTTTGTGGCAAAAACAAAGATCATTTCTTTAAAATACAATATTTCAAAGATTCCAAGATGATAGGTGGAGACTCGTAAAAGAATCCTCTCACATCTTTTGTAAATTTGATGTTGCTTCTCTAAAGTTGAATCACTAACCTCTTTAAGCAAATCAATAGTTTCCAAAGAAATATATGAACAAATAAAATGTATCAGAGTCAAACTGATGACAGTTAAGTGCTACTGCAAATAGCCTAGATTATGCCAGTAGGAAAATAATTACCTTTACTGTCAAAAAATTCTATTAGAGCTGAACTCTCCTTGGGAAAACATTTAACACCGGCAACGCTTCCCCCTCCATGGAAAGGATTTTTAAAGAAAAGTTGTAAACTGTATTCATCAGCACCAGGAGGCAGGTTTTCAACACAGATTGTTTTTGTCACTTCCAGAAGTCTTGGAGAAAGCTGGAGTTGTTTAGTTAAGCGATGCTGGGCACATTCCTCAACAAATTTAACAATATCTACAAACGACAAGAACAAGGTATCAGTAAATTATGACAATATCTTGATAACTCTCTGCTAGTTAATGAGATAAAGGGGAGAGCCAAGCACTCCATTTTCACACACAAGATTTTAATGCCTAAATGAAAATTCCTAAGTCTAAAACTCCTGGCCTCCAAACAACCTACATATAATGTCTTAACCTGGATTAAAGCCACTGGGCTAGGTCCCTGCCTCCTGTCACAGCCCTCACCACCCCTCCTGAGTGTTTTCTCTGTGAATCTCTGCATCTCATCCTCTCTTCAGTGGCTCCCTGTCACCTGCAGATAACCAAGTCACACGCCTCAGCCACACTTCCCAGGCCCTTGGCTATCTGACTCCAAACTAATTTCCATGCATCACCTTTGGTTATTCCCTGTCATTCATCTTATTTTCCATGGTGCCACATAAACTAGTCATTATTTTGAAAACCCCCTTCCCTTTCTTTTTCCATTATTATATATGGTATCTAAAATGCCCTTCACCAATTATTTATCTTGGTCCAACTCATCCTGCAGGACACAGCCCACCTATCTCGTTCAAATCAATAATTATTGATGGTGGACTCACAATGTGCCAGGCACTGAGCTAGGATCTGAGGACACTGAATAAAAATAACGGGTTCTTTCCAGTGGGAGGGAGGAAGTCTTAACAGCAAATAAGCTACTGTGGGAGTAAAGGAGGTGGGAACACTAATACTGGGAATCAGACAGGATTCCCAGAGGAAGTGGTGTCTGATCTGAGTTTTGAAGGATGAAGAGAGGTTTACCAAATGAATGAGAGAAAGATATATGTCAGGCAGAGGGAATATATTTTGGACATGACTGACTGATACTGTTCCAGCATAAACTTCATAAAAACAAGAATAAGCCACCTGTCCGGGGCCCTTTGCCCCACAGCATGTTGTTCCTGCTGAGAAGCGACCTCTCCTCTTGCACCTTCCGTGTCCGTTTGCATATGGGCGTCCTCCCTGACCTGAGACTGCGAGTCCTTCAAGACCAGGAGCCCTGACTTACTCATCCTTGTACCAACAGCACTGGACCACTGCCTGGCACACGGAAGGCTTTCAGAATTTATGATCAGTGAACAGAAGCAAATCCGTTTTGTTTTCCCTTTATAAGAAATGTAATAAATTTGAAATAAGAATAGCCCCCTTTACTGAGTCCTTCCCTTGTCTCAGATACTCTGGTAGGTGCTTTTCAAACATCATTTCATTTAATCTTTACAGAAACTGTACTAGGTAGGTATTATTGTCCCCATTTTATAGATGAGGAAAGTGAAGCACAGGGAGGACAGTGACTTGACCAAGCTCATGTAACTAGTTTAATGCCAGAGCTACAGTTTGGACTCCATGATGTGTACTCTTAATTAACCACTCCACGGCCATGGCCATGAAGAACAGAGGGCTCAGAATTAGAAAATGTCCTTGTTTTAGGTGGACATGACACTTTATAATCTCAGAGACTTCCCATAGACTCCTGACAATGACCTTAAAGAGCACTCATTTTCTGACCAGACACACTCACTCGTTCCTGCATATGGGAATGACCACAAAAGTACTAAAGAAATACATGGCGAAGTGGGTAGGAGAACAGGCTGTAGAGGTAGGCTGCCCGGGTTCAAATCCAGCGCATCCATGTCTTAACACCTTTGTGCCCGTCTCCCCAACTGTAACATGTAGGGCAGAAGTAAATAATGGTAATCCCATAAGGTTGTTGAAGGAACCAATTAATACATGTAAAGACCTTAACATAGTACCTAACTTATAATAAGCACTGTGTGAGTGTGGTGTACTATTACTACCTTCCAGTAAGTACATTTTGGTAACAAAAATCAACATTTACTTCTCTCAATGAGATAATATGTGGGAAAATACTGACCCCTTTACCTGGAATCCCTTACTTTCTCTCTCCTCCCTGACGCTCTCTTTCTCCATCTCTCTTTCTCTCTCTGATGCAAAGAACTCATGCAAAATTCATTCCATTTTACACACCAGAATTTGGTTTCAAAACTAATGTGCTTCTCTTTGAAAATTAAAAAGCATCTATATCAACTAGAAATCGCTCTTAGTAGTTACTAGAAAGAGTCCTACTTACAGAGATGTTTTGTTAATGAGGTATCCTAAGACCCAAGGTGTGCTGCAAAGAAGACTGCCACACGAAGTGTCACCTGATCTTACCTATATGTGTTTTAAAGGTAACTACAACGACATCAGAATCTGGTATTACTTCCACATCAAAGTCATCATTGGACAGGCCACTTATGAGCTGCACCAACAAGACTGACATCATGTCAGTCACATTTGCCTTGAGATTTTCAAATGCCACCAAAGAGGGAATATTTTCACATTCTTTTGATGTATCTTCCATTTCTTTTGATCCTTCTTTGAGGGAGACTTTTGTATTGAATTCTTCTGACACATCTAATTTGGGGGACACAAAAGAAGTATAAGTTACTATCATTATCTATCAGAGTCTTAGCAAAGTAAGTGATCATAAGACACTGACCTCTTTCCTTCCCAATCTCTTCACTAACTCACATTAAAAGAAATCTTGGGCTTGGCGCCTGTGGCTCAAGTGACTAAGGCGCCAGCCACATACACCTAAGGTGGTGGGTTCGAATCCAGCCCGGGCCCACCAAACAACAATGATGGCTGCAACTAAAAAATAGCTGGGCATTGTGGCAGGCGCCTGTGGTCCCAGCTACTTGGGAGGCAGAAGCAGGAGACTTGCTTGAGCCCAGGAGTTGAAGGTTGCTGTGAGCTGTGATGCCACGACACTCTACCCAGGGGGATAGCTTGAGGCTCTGTCTCAAAAAAGAAAGAAATCTTGGATGGTGTTCCCTTTATTTAATTAAAACAATGAATAGTATTAATTGTCTGTTACTAATATTTAAGTTCAATTTTCTTCCATTTTCATATGGACATTATAGTTCTTTATTTTTAAGATCACCAGCATAATGAGGAAAAAAGATTTTCATTTATTCCTGGGAGATGTATAAATTAAATTTTATGGAGATCAGTTATTAAAATTTTTCCAAAATTATTAGCAATAAGAAAAAATATTCATTTCACATACCTAAGTAAAGAAATAGCCACTTATGAAATGATTTGCATTCTAAAACTGTTTGTATATATGAATTTGATATGAAAATTATACACAATTGAAGTTCAATTTTATAATACTCTTTCTGCCTGTCTCTCTGAGGATCCTGCCCTATCTTTCCTTGCACTTGACATGTGTTTCTAGCACAATATCATATTATAGGATAATTATTGAACTAAGCTATGATACTGAACAGTATCATATTATAGTATAATTACTGAACTAAGCTTCTCAGAAGCAAGGCACATGTTTATTTACCCTTGTATTGCTGGAAGATGGTACATAATAAATAATCAAGGCTCAGTAAATGTTTGGGAATAAGATAGAGATTTGCTGCTTGGGTCACTGGAGAAAAGCAAGAACACTGGACACCACTCAAGCATGGGCATCTTCTACCACATCACATTCCAGAAAGGAATAAGTTCTGATCACTGAAGAGAAAGAAAGGGCCCTTGCAGTGGGTGACTAAGGGATGCATATGGAAGGTGAAAAGGCTGAGAGAGCGGCTGTGTGCAGCAAGCTCACTGAGTAGCATCACCCCGCTGGCCTGTCCCTCTCCACTGCTGACCATAAGGGACATGCGAGGTCACTCTCACTCTATTCTTGTCCAGTGAAGCCTGGTGTGTATGATACAATCTTTAGACACTCTATGAACCCTTCAGTAGGGGCCCTTGTTATGTTCAAGACACTGCATGTACAGAGAGGTGTGAATGCCAAAACTTACCGATTTTCTCATGGAGGCATATAAGAAGGAGAAAGGGAAAAACATGTATAAATGTCTACTCTGGCAGAGTAAAATACCTGTGCTCACCACATCTATTTTGTTTTCTTCTTGGGCAACATTTCTCAAATTTCCTACAGTTTCATTGCTACAGTAGTGTTCCAGGAGCTAATGGTTGTGGTGGAAGTGGTGAATTCCACTTCTAAGCATGGCCTTTATAAGAATTCCTATATTCCCTTACAGTGACCTTACAGGTCACACATTAAAACAATGGTGTCAAAAGATGGAAGGTGCCTGGGTCCTTGAATGAGTCCACGATGCAGTCCATACTGCCCCTACCAGCCCAGCTGCTGACTACACTGAACTGTGATATGAAGGAAAAATTAACTTGTATTGTGCAGTCATTTGTTATAACAGATCATTTTGTTGTGTGCTGGCTATGACACCATGCACATATGCTCATGCTGAATACAAAACAGCTTAAGGATAAAAAAACATACATACATTAGCATTAAATGAGACAGAGATGGTAAATCAAAATAACTACTTAGCTAGGGAGGAGGCTATGTATGTTGAAGCCATGACTCATACTCTCAGGCATGTGACCTTGGGCAATGTCTCTTAATTATAAAATGAGGGTATTGGACTAAGTGAACTAAACAGTAGGAGTCGCTCCAGCAATAGAGTTTTATAATCCTATGACTGTTCAAAGCTTCATCACAAGAGAGGCTTTGTAACTGACAAATAAAGAGCATCAACAACCAAGCCAGGATCCCAGATAGAGATAGGGGGCTGGGCTGCCATGGAAAGGCTTCAAGAAGAGGAGGAAATGGAGCAGCTCTTCAAGGGCAAACAGAATTGGGTAGAGAAGTGGGACAGAGAGTAGTGTGAGCAGCAGAAGAGGCAGAGTCATATGACTGCAACAGACTACTTAGAAAATGGTGATTTGGCTCGGCATTTGTGGCTCAAGTGGCTAAGGCGCCAGCCACATACACCTAAGGTGGTGGGTTCAAATCCAACCCGGGCCGCCAAACAACAATGACGGCTGCAACCAAAAAATAGCTAGGCATTGTGGCTGGCGCCTATAATCCCAGCTACTAGGGAGGCAGAGGCAGGAGACTCGCTTGAGCCCAGGAGTTGGAGGTCGCTGTGAGCTGTGATACAACATCATTCTACTCAGGGGGACAGCTTGAGGCTCTGTCTCAAAAAAAAAAAAAAAGAAAGAAAGAAAATGGTGATTTGATTGATGGAGCACAAGAGGAACATTTTTGTGCAGAGATGGAGGAAGCAAGGACAGAAACATAGACTAGGTCCAGAATATGGTCTGGATTTTATCTCACAGTTGGTGGTAAGGGTGAGTCATGGACGCTTCTTATGAAAAGGGGGCCAGGACATTTATATACCCTGTAATGCAAAGGACTGGTGCAATTTCAGAAGGGTACCAGATACAGAGCCAGCAAGCAGGTGGCTCCTGCTATGCTGAATTTGAGAGGTAAAAAGGGAGGGTCTGTGGTGAGAGAAGGATGGGTGGGGGAGAATTTAGAGGAAAATTAACAGGTCTCTCTGACCAGCAGA